AAAAAAAAAAAAAAAAATCCTACTGAACAAGCTCCCAGGGAGGGTGGTCACACAAGTTTGAGGTGAAGGATTATGCACCATGCAAATTGTCAAAATGTTAGGACAGTGCTGAGGATCCTCATAAAACCATGCTCCGGGGCTGGGGAGTTGGCTCAGGGGAATAAGCGCTTCCCTGGCAAGCGCAAGGGCCTGAGTTCAATTTCCAGTTCTGAAAAAGAAAACAAACAAACAAATAAACACACACACACACACACACACACACACACACACACACAAAACCACGCTCACAGGCCAGGTGGCAGAGGACGGAGCGATGCAGGGCCTATAAACTACAGTGGAAGGTGCAGCGGAACGTCCGCCATAGAGTGACTTGTACAGAAAGACCGTTACCTGACAGGTGTCGACTTATTTACTAACATTACTGAATTAAAAGGTATTTTAAAGAATGAAATAGAAAAAACAAACAAACAAAAAAAACAAAAACAAAAGCAAAAAAACCCAGAGTCCAGAAAATGTGAAATTATCATTCACTTGTTCATGAGAATAAAAATGTTCAGCTTCAATGATTTTTTTTCCCCTTATTTTTTAAAGCTCAGAATTAAGTTCTGTCAGTCTTGGGAAGTTTAGTCCATCTACTTGCAAGCCGGGTTCCATATCTCATGCTCACCTGAAAGGTCCAGCAGAAAAAAAATGTTGGTCTGTTATTTAATGAATGCGCATTAACTATACTGAAGTATAGATAGAAATCTTTAAAATTAGGGCTGGGGAAATGGCTCAGTGCCTGGCACCTGCCTGGCAAGAGCAAGCTCCTGAGTTTGATCCCTGGTACCAAAAAAAAAAAAAAAGTTTAAAATGAGCTCTGTGTGTGCTTAGATTGCCAAAGTTTTGGTCTTCCTCACAAAACAGCTAATTTACTTTAAAAAAACAAAACAAAAACAACTTGGGAGTCTCAGTTTACCCTAAATTGTGACTTTTAAGCTTTCTGCATGAAAGAAAACCACCTGTATTACAGGATATTTTGCATCTGCTTGGCTTAGGACAAACTTACCAGTGAGAGTACATGAAGGGATTCTCTTTCTGGGAAAACCACGTATATGTAATAAAGCTGGGGTTCTCCTTTGAATGAGTTGGGCTGCTGTGTGACTTCGGCTCCCTGGTCAGTTTCCCACTTGGCTGGTGTGGACACAGCCGGGGTGAGGGCAGGCACAGAGACACACAGGCGCAGGAGCTCCCCTTCTGTACCTGTTGCATCTTCTAGAAAGGGGGCTGCGTGCTGGAACCTTGCTCTCCAGACCTCAGAGCTCAGGAAATGCTGCCCGGATGGGTGAATCTTTTTAACACCTCTTGGGGTGACTTTTCACAGTTTTTGGGGTTTGCAGAATTCGGTAGCTGTAACCACAAGACAAGAGCACAAGCTGCCTGGGGCTTGGGCACCCAACTAAGGAGACCACAGATGTGATCTGTGATCTGCCCTAAAGTCAGAGGTGCATGCTGGGATCTCATATTGTTTGACCTTATCTCTTTCTAAGGTCACTGGATTTGAGGAAAAACACTTGTTTCTTCCCCAGAAATGGAAGAAATAGTGAAGGAAAGAAAAGGGGAGATGACCGATGAACTCTGATGGGAGAGGAAACTTCTGGGAATGCCAGGGGCCTTGTTCTTCGGGGTAATTGCTTTTGCATGAGCCTCAGCTCTGTGGCCCAAACATGGATTCTGGCAGAAAGAAGTGATCAGCCTTGGTGACACATTTGGTCATGTGGAAAGAATGATCTTCAGGAAAAATCACACCCTCGGTAAAGGATTTTTACAGAGGCTGGAGTGAGCCCGAGCCAACTCTGACGCTCTTCCAGTGGCGGCGAGGGAGCGAGGCAGTCTTAGTCATCACTGACTTATGTTTCTTTTCTTCCTCCTACATGTGCTTGTGTAACTTGGCTTTCGGGGAGGGATGAAGTAGCCTTAAGAAAAACAACAGCTCTTTGCAAAAGAGAGGTGGGGTACAAGGAGGACAGATGCTCTGGGAGGAGCCCCTGGGGGTGATGGGAAGGTGACTGGAACAGGGCTGGACATTCCAGAGCCTGCCAGAACTGAGTGGTCCTGCCAGCCCTGCAAGACGCTAGAAAAAGCACCAGGGGATTAGCGAGCTGTGAGAGATAAAGTTGACTCAGAAAATGCAGCATCCGCTTAGCACTTTACAAATACCAGCATGCTAATTAATCATTATGAACACCCTGTAGTCATCAGGAATCTCTTGGTGGATTGAGAAAGGTGCTTAGAGGTCAAGGTTCACGGAAGCGCCATCAATGGGAGCAATCGGGGTGACGACAGGAGGAATAGTCACAGTCCAGCTGGCCTCAGAACCTTTTTCATCTTTGGAAAATCTGGAAGTTGTGCAAGGAATGGGTGAGATAGGGAAGCAAGGTGCAGATGGTGTCAGGCAGGCACTCAGGGACCCCCCCAAGTGGGGCAGGTGGGAAGGGGGATTGTGGCATGGACAACAGCTGCAGGTAGGGGGGTCCAGCTGCAGGTGGACCCATTTGGAGAGCACTAGAAATAGTGTATCTCTTGAGCGTCTCTCAGAGTTTTCATGGACACTTTGAATGTGTTTGAGGGCTTAAGGTGATCTTCTAGTTGGGTGTAGGTGTCCAGCTGGGCACCTGGTGATTTGTGTTTCTAAGTCCCTGGTCCTCTTTAACATCTCCAGTGGCCTAAGTCTTAGTCTTGTTTTAAATCCCTAAGGGATGTAGGTGCGTAGTATGTGTGTGGGGGTGGGGAAGTTACTTTACAACTCAGCGATGTCAGCTTCTACAGTGGCCTCCTGGATTCTTTCCAAAGATGCTGCAAAGCTGGGCAGCACATGATGGTTTTTATACTGGCAACAGCTACTCCGAGAAAGCAGAATGCTGCTAAATCCATGCAGTCAAGACCCATTTATGAAGCGTGCCAAAGCCTGGGCACTGGTCCTGGAATACTCCTGGTTGGAAGCCCCTAGGGAAAGGGCAAAGGAGCCAGGTTGAAGTGTGAGATTTATTGGACCTCACACTGGGTGACAGAAGAGGCGACAACTCTTCTAGCTACTCAGCCCCTGCCCCCTCTGAGGGCCCGGCTCTCGTTAGTATGGGTGTTCTACCTGCACCATGACCTCACAGTGTGGAACCCAGCCCCAGCTGAATGCTGGGAAAATATTTGTTGATTGAACACACCATGACCTGCTCTGCCGGAAGGCTAGGAAACATTGTTTACTTAATGTCCCCTCCAGAGTTTCTAGTGGCTCATTTGTAGGTCTGAAAGTCATTGCCACGAAAGAGAAGCTGCTAAAGTGACACCTCTGTGCACCCACATGACTCAACACAAAGGTCCCAGGAGCTCTTAGAACACAAGGCTCTCAAGTATCTGCCCCCAGTCTCCTCCAGCGAAGTGACAGTGGCATTAGATAGCGGTTGGGGACATATGACCTGCTGGTCCTTGGGCATCTCTGTGGTGCAGAGGTCATTTAAACTGCTCTCTGCTCAGAAAAGAGGGCAGAAGGAGTAACAGGAAGAAGCTTCCAGTAAACACCGCATGTAGCCACCGCAGGGGCACCGGGAGGTTGGAACACTGAAAGAGACACTGTAACATTAACTCACAACAGACCAACGCAGAGAAAGGCAAAGTCAGGTGAAAGGAGCAGTGTGGTGCTTCGAGGGCACCTGAGGTATCCAGTCAGGA